TTCTAGAAAGGTTCCTTAAAAAGGTGAGGCTGTGACCCCTTCTGCCTTTTTTCCCTTCCAGCTGCCTGGGGCAAGGGTGTTATGGCTAAAGCTTCACCAGCCCTGTGAGGGGACACTGAGGATAAAAGCCGGTACTGGGACGGCTGGGCACAGAGGTGGCAGCCTGATTCCCAACAACACAATGGAGCTGCCTTCTAGCCGTGGGTTGCATATCCCAGTGCTGCTCCTACTTAGAAAACAATACATTTCTGGGGCGCCTAAGGACCTCAGTCGGTTCAGCTTCCGACTTCGGCTCAGGTCACGATTTCATGGTTCGTGAATTTGAGCTTCACATTGGGCTCTCTGCTGTCAGCACAGAACCTGCTTCAGATCCTCTGTTACCCCGCCCTCTCTCTGCCCTCCCCTACTTGCCCCTCCTCAAAAGTAAACGTTAATAAAATAAATAAATAAAACGTTAAAAAAAGAAAGAAAACAATGCATTTCCATGTTGTTAATCTGCTGTTATTTGGGGTTTTCTGTAACATGTAGCTTAAATTATGCCTGACACACCTAGATCTGTGGCCATCCAAACTTTTAGTTGTTATGCAAGAGAATTACCAGTTAAAGGCAGTGGAGGGGGGGCCAGAGTCCCTCCAAGCTGGCTCTGCATTGCCAGCCCCGTGTCACTATAGGAACTTAAGAATTCTGAAGAACAGTATGGAAGCCACGGACTTGCTCACCCCCTTCATTTTACAGTTGGAACACTGGCCGGAGAAGGGAAGCAATTTGCTTACTCACACAGTGAGCGAAGGAAGAGCCTGACCCTTTCCAATGCCATTCTCCCTATACTCATACCCCAGGCCCCAGAGGCCAACTTTCTACAGCGAGCAAGCGTCCACTATTTTAGAAAATGTTTAAAATATATATACTCTCCAGCTCACCCCTACAAAGCACTTGGGCTTCTTATCAGACCGCTTATCACACCGCCTACAAAGCCCTACACGGTTTGACCCCCGCCCGCTTCAACCTCCTTGCCTGTGTGGCAAATCAATTCTTCAAATCGCCTTTTACTGGGTGGGCTCTATGTCTCCTCTCAACAGCAAGGAGCTGAGTGACACTGTCGCGGTCACCAGGCCCAGGCTTTGGGAGCCAGCAGCTTCTACTTCCCGTGTCTTGAAACATCCATTCCCTTAGAAACATCCTCTCACAACCTGGCTGATACACTGGTGCAAGCCCAAGTCGCATGGGGAGGTCAAGCGTACTCACACCAACCAACTATCCCTGTGGTGATATACACCACAGCGCAGAGGAGATGTGAAGACGTTATGCTAAGTGAAATAAGCCAGACACAAAAAGACAAATATCATATAATTCTACTTACATGAGACTTACGACAGGCAAATTCAAAGACAGAAAAACTGAATAGAGGAATGGAATGGAAGTGTGGAAGAATGGGGAGAAGTTGTTAAATGGGTATAGAGGATCTGTCTGGGGGGAGGAGAAAGTTCCAGAGACAGACAGTAGTGGTGGTCACACATTTCACTGTACTGAATGCTACCGAACTGTGCACTGAAAAAAGTGGTTATACCGGTAAATGAATAACACACACACACACTCCAGTGGCATAAATACACATATACACCACAGTAACCATTTTTTGAAATCTCACGTTTTTATGTTGAGAACTAATCCTGCCAGCAAGATTTACTAACCTGGAAAATACTGGTATCAATTACTCTTCAGAAATGATAGTTAAACATTACTCAATTACAAACTATATGCAATAATTTCATTTTAAGTTAATCTGAATAGGTAAGTAGATGTGTATAAAAGTATCCGGAGGGGCGCCTGGGGGGCTCAGTCAGTTAAGCATAGGACTTTGGCTCAGCTCAGGATCTTGTGGTTCATGAGTTCGAGCTCTGTGCTGACAGTGGGATTCTCGGTCTCCCTCTCTCTGCCCCTCCCCCGCTGGCACATGCTCTCTCTCTCTCTCTCAAAAAGAAAAAATAAAAAAAAACCATTTAAAAAAAGCATCTAGAGAATGGAAGTATATACATCAAAATGCAAAGAGCGTTTTTTAAAGGGGTGGTGGGTTATGAGTAAATTTAGTTTTTTACTTTATTAAAAAAATCTCCCACGGAATCTCTGGTGGGTATTCCAAAGGATACTTATACCAAGAAATGCAATGTGTAACATGGATTGAAACTTTGTACACTTGGGATTCTACAGAGAACATGGGAAATCAAAGAACAAAAGAACTGCCTCCATGAGCCCAGTCAACCCACAGAACTCTGAGGAATAATTGATACACTGCTGTTGAACCACTAAGTTTTGGAATGGTCTGTTATGCAGCAAAAGACAATGGCACAGTCTCTTAGTCTCCTTACTTGCTCCAGCCCAGCCACACTGGTCTTCTGTCTGCCCCTTGAGCATACTAAGCCTAATCCTGCCTCAGAGCCTCTGCTCTCCATGTCGCCACCATGAAGAACCACCTTTCTCCCGGCTTTTTCTTCAGGTCTCTCATGCACTGAATGCTTGTGTCCCCCCAAGTCCATAGCTGAGGTCCCAACCCCCACTGTGATAATGTTTGGAGGCAGGGCATTTGGGAGGCAATTAAGTCTAGTTGAGATCATAAGGGTAGAGCCCCGTGATGAGATTGGTGCCTTATAAGCAAGCCTGTTCTCATCCCAACATGTGAGGACACAGCAGAAAGGCAGTAAGCCAGGAAGATCATTGGAACCCAACCCAAGAACCTCTCACCAGAATCCAAGTATACGGGCACCCTGGTCTCAGACTTCCCAGCCTCCAGGACCACGAGAAATAAACACCTGCTGTTTAAGCCCCTAGTCTGTGCTATTTTGTTATAGCAGCCTGAGCTGAAATAAGGTTGCACATACATTGTTTATGTTTTTTATAGTATTATGTCTTCTGGAATTATCTACTGTAAAAGCTTATTCACCATCTCTCTCATTAGACTCAGCTCCATCAGAGCAGGGACCTTATCTGCCTTATTCTTGCCAGTATCCCCAGTGTCCAGACCAGTAATTGACACCCAGGAGGTCCTTCTTAAATACGTATGAAAGGAAGGCAGGCAGGCAGGCAGCTGCCCAGGTGGCTCTAACTCTCAAACTGCCTCCAGGAATCATCTTTCCTACTAGTCTGCCTTTCCCAAAAATCTGGCCGTAGGGCACAAGCTTTCCCAACCCTTCATGCAATTCCTACAACTCAGTGAACTCAAACAAGACGGTGAGGCACCGAGCAAGAGCGTCAGCAACACTCCCTGACTGGCGCATCCACGTGGTACCGTACCTTCTCTTCCAACCAGGCTTGTGTGAGATTTCTGGCTTTCTGGAATTTGCTTTTAGAGCTGCCTTTAGAGCTGGCATCATATGTTTTTTTCCTGGCACTCTGTCAATTAGAGAAATATCTCCACCCTTGGAGGGCAGATCTGCCTCCTGGCAATAGGTCCAGGTCACTCAGAACTGAACAGGGAGACCCAGGTATATGGTCAAGTGGGAATGTCCTGGGGCCAACCACGAGGGAGGAGTGGGACCCACCATGAGCGCGCATCCTCAGTAGCTCCTGGATGAGCACAGAATTCCCGAATGGGAACCGGCAGCTGTTCCAGGCACAGCTGTCTTCTCCACAGTGGTTAAGACGGGGTGCTCTGGACATCAGACTGCCTGGGTCCAAATCTTAGCTTTGCCACTTCAAACTGTGTGACCTTGGGCACGTGCTTTCACTCCTGTGCTTCAATCTCCTTATGTGTACAACACAGAGACAGTAACGCCTGTCATACAGGCTTGTGGAAGCACCAAATGAGTTACCATCTTAGAAGACTTAGGTAGTGAAGTAAAAACTTAGAAGACTGTTCGGTACACAGTAGGCACTAAATAAACAGTAGCTTTACTATCTATTAAAGAGTTGCATTTGGACCGCAGCTGCCCTCTCACCAGCTGAGTTATACCGTACCTCACCGAGCTGTTTCCTTACTTGTCAAGCGGAAATTGATCATAATACCCACCTCGTGAAGTTTCTCAAAGGCTCGTATGAAATAAAGCACGTGAATAATCATAGTAACAGCTAACATCGCTTGTTTGCCTACTATGTGCCACGCACTCTATGCCCTAGGAAGCAGATATCATAGTGCTCCTTCCACTCCGGCCAGACAGTCAGAGAGGCCGCTCAGGGTCGCCTGAGGAAGAGGCAGGGCTGAATCAGAGCCCAGGCCTGACTGATTGTGAGCATGACTCCTTTCTCTATGCCAGTCTGTCCTTGGTCTAATGAATGCCGAGTGCTGTGACCCTGTGTGAATTCCTATGTCCCTCATAGCTCCTAAGCTGTCTGACTTTCAAGCCCATGTTCACTCTTGCCATGCTATAGCATCAAGGCAAGCACACTCTGATAGTTATCATCATTATAACTAGCCTGTGGCTCCCTGAGGGCTGAGGCTGGGCCTTCTTCATTTTTACATATCACCTCTGGCCTTTGAGCACTATGTCTCATACATGACAGACGCTCTATAAATATTTCACAGCCTGTGCCTGTGCCCTGCTAACCTATTTTTTTTTTCTTAACAGGGCCTACTGGAGCACAATTAATAAAGCACATCCAATTATTATCAGGATGACATCATTCCTCAGTCTGCACCTGAAGCTGCTTTTCCCTAAGAGACGCTGCGTACAATTTTCACCTTGTGAGGAGGAAGGTGAGAGGGGAGAGATTCTCACGCCTAGAGGAGGAAATCGAGACCCAGGTGACTGAACAATATTCTTTTTATGACATCCTTTATCGGCCGATAAACTCTTGCTCAACCTTGTGGCAGGTCAATGTCCCACCGTGTCAGGCGTTGAGATGGGAACAGATCACACAGGATCCCAAGTTCAACAGATAGAACGGCCGCACCTTTGGTCTCACACATCAGGGTGTGGTGGAGGGGAAGAGGGTCAGGAAGGCGCTGTGAACACTCCTGGGCCCCAGGCTCCTCCCTCAAACCCAGCAACACTGCCCCCTCCAAGTACCTCTGGATCCACTGGTCTTTGTAGGAGGCGCTGAAGGAAATGCCTGAAAAAAGCTCGGACTTGTTGAAACTCACATGAAACTGATCCCAAAATGGACCAAAGGGATTTCCTTCCTGCAGAAAGAGAGTGATCAAAGGCTTACTGAGGGAAAGCCCTTTGGGTATGGGGCCAAGGAACCATGCGTAGGGGAACCCTGGTGGGCTGGACTCAGGTTGAAACACCTCATAGGATGGCCCAATAGGAACGTCACTTTGTAAATCCTGGGCTGGAGACTGAGGAAAGCAGCTTGGCCTCCAATCTGGTTTCCAGCACGGAATGTTCACCACAGTGTTTAAAGGAGTCTTTCCTACCTTACATGCCATATCCCACTGACCGTGAAGCATTGGTAGGGTAAGTGGGGAGGGAGTGAACCCTGGATTTGGGCCTTGGATCTCGGACTAGAGCTTCCAGAAACTTTTAAGATCAGCAAATACAACGCCCTTCATCTTTTCTTTTTAAATGGTAACTTATTTATTTTAAGAGAGAGGGAGAGGGGCGCCTGGGTGGCTCAGTCGGTTAAGCATCCGACTTCAGCTCAGGTCATGATCTCACAGCTAGTGGGTTCGAACCCCAGGTTGGGCTCTGTGCTAACAGTTAACTCAGAGCCTGGAGCCTGTTTTGGATTCTGTGTCTCCCTCTCTCTCTGACCCTCCCCTGCTTATGCTGTCTCTATCTCTCTCTCAAAAATAATAAATAAAAAAAACATTAAAAAAAAAGAGAGAGAGAGAGAGGGAGAGAGAAGGTGGGGCAGAAAGGGAGAGAGAATCCCAAGCAGGCTCTGCGCTGTCAGAGCAGAGCCAGACGCAGGGCCCAATCTCATGAACCGTGTGTGAGATCATGTCCTGAGCTGAAATCAAGCTTAAACGACTGAGCCACCTAGGCACCCTGCAATGCCCTTATTTTCAAGGTGGAAACCAGGACCTAGACAGGGTAAGACACCTGCCCAGGTTCACATACCAAGTGAGGGCAGTGTCAGGGCTATAAGCCAAGTTTCCTTTCTCAACTTTCATGGCTCCTCCAACCACCCTCCCCAGACTTTAGCATAAGCACTGAAAACATACCGGGGACTGTGTTAATCCCAAAGTGCCAGAAAATTATAAATTCTCCTGATAAAATATGACAGTTTCTTATTTACCTGCTGAAAGGCAGGGAAGTATACAACTTAGGAGGGTGGAAAACGGAGCCAAATTACCTCAGGTTGAATTCCAGCTCCACCACTTGTTTGCTGTGTGACCCTGGGGATAATGCTGAACCACTCTGTGTTGCACTCGTGTCCTCTCTATAAAATGGGGATATTGATAGTACATCCCTCATAGAGCAGTGTGAAGAGTAAGTTAACGTGCGTAATGCTCCTAGCACAGTACCTGGCACGTATCAAGTGCCACATGAGTATTAGTTATTATTACCGGTGTGGCTCATTACAGTTTACAATCACCCTTACACCGGACCCTCATGACGTTTATGAGTGAGACAGAGCAGGGATGGGTGTCTTTATTTTGCTGGTAGTTTTTTTCCTAAACTACCAGCTAAACAAAACTGCAAAATAAAGGCTCAGAGGAATCACGGTACTCTGCCAAAAGTGATACTGCTGACAGATGTCACAAATGGGACTTAAATCTCCATCTTTCTACTCTAAGCCTTTCTAGTGCCTTCCCTCAGGTATTGCCATCATGGTGTCTCATGGGCCTCGAGGACATGGGACAGGCAGAAAGGGTCCCCCAGACCCACCTTCATGGGGCATGTCTTCTTATCAGGGCTTCGCTGGGCTGCCACCTCAAAGCAGTATGCCACCCGCCGCTCAGGGGGCCAATGAGTGGGTGCCAGCTTCTCCATAAAGTCTTCCAGGCTGATGACCCGATGGTAGGCCTGGAGGGGTTCCAGCTTGAAGTACTTCTGATAGGACACATGGAGCTACAGGAAAAGGTGGGAAAGGAGAGGCAGAGGTCTCTCTTCAGTATCCTAGTGGCTCTTTTACAGACATTTATTAAAAGGATTGACTCCAGGACCGAGATAACTCAGCCTGTAAGCCACTGAAAAACATTTAGAGAAGGACACCAAACTCAAAACGAAAAAAGGCTGGGAGAATTTATCTGTAAACTAACAAAGAAATAGTAACATCCCTTGTGTTCAAAAATGCTCACTGACCTAGATGAAAAAAAGACATACGCTGTAAGAGAAAATGTGAGCAAAGGAGAGGAGAGAACAACTCACAGCAAAGAAAACTCAAAGAGTCGATACGCTCAAAAGATGTACACGCTCACTAGTAATTAGGAAAAAAACAAACTGCAATTATAACAAGACCACGTTTCACTCATTAGACCAGCAAAGATTTAAAAGCTTAGGGGCTCCTGAGTGGCTAGGTTGGTTAAGCGTCCAACTTCAGCCCAAGGTCTCACGGTTTGTTGAGTTGGAGCCCCGCGTTGGGCCCTGTGCTGATGGCTCAGAGCCTGGAGCCTGCTTCCAATTCTGCGTCTCCCTCTCTCTCTGCCCCTCCCCAGCCTGTGCTCCTCTCTCTCTCTCAAAAATAAATAAACATTAAAAAAAAAAGATTAACTTTACTAAATTTTTTTCATGTTTAATTTGAGAGAGAGAGAGAGAGAAAGAGAGAGAAAGGGAGAATCCCAAGCAGGCTCCATGTTATCAGCTCAGAGCCCAACATGGGGCTCAATATTCTGAACTGTGAGATCACGACCTGAACCGAAATCAATAGTCAGATGCCCAACTGACTGAGCCACCCAGGATCAGTCCCTAAAAGCTTAACTTTAGTTGTTGGGAAGGATGTGGGGAAACAGGGACTGCTGTGCCTGGCTGGTAGTTAAAGTGTACGTTTTAGAAAAACCACTTTGGAATGCAATCTTGCAGCATCTACTAGAATTTAAAATGCTCCTTGACCCTCTATGTATTTTCCCTAGAGAAGCCCTCCCACTTTGCACCAGGAGACAGGTCCAAGGATGCTCAGGGCCACAGCAGAAGTACAAGAAAGACCTTGGAAGGAGTCACACTGAAGGCACTGCACCCATGGCAGTGATTGCCTCTGGGCCTGGGGGAAGGGAGCGGGACTAGCCTCCGGGGCCACGCGAGCCTTTATCTTTTAACAACTTCGTCTGTAATAACATTTTATTTCTTTTATCAAAGAAGAGAAAGATGAAGCAAAGAAGAAAATGTTAACGATGCTCACGGCTAGTGGTAGGACATGGATGGTGACTATATTAATCTCTGTATTTTTCTGCATTTAAAAAAATTTCTTCGAACACCATAAAATAAAAATCTCGACTTCATCTGATAGCTCAGGGTTCACAAGCATGTGTCACTAGGTCAGGGCAATAAAGAGTTCTGCAATCAAAAGGCTCCACAGTTACACAGATCTGGGAAGCGCTGTGTGAAGCTGATTTCTTTACTACGGGACTTCGCAGTATGGTACTATATATTTTGAATCTCCAGTTTTGGAGGCTGGGGGATTGAGAATATAACTTCCCAAACTGATTTAACCAATGCATCTTTCCTTCGCAAGCCACTGGCATTCCAATAGACTTTGGGATACTTAACCACTAGCAACAAGGTCTTGCTGAAGGATTTTAAACAGAAATAATAGGAGATTTGCTTTCTAGAAAGATCACTCTGGGGGCGCCTGGGTGGCTTAGTCGGTTAAGCGTCCGACTTTCGCTTAGGTCATGATCTCGCGGTTTGTGGGTTCGAGCCCCGCGTCGGGCTCTGTGCTGACTGCCAGCTCAGAGCCTGGAGCCTGTTTCAGTCTGTGACTCCCTCTCTCTCTGACCCTCCCCTTTTCTCTCTTTTTCTCTCTCTCTCTCTCTCCTAGAAATAAATAAAAAATATTAAAAAAAAAAAAAAAAAAGAAAGATCACTCTGGTGGCAGAAGAGAGCACATATGGATGATAAGATTAGAGAAGAAAGAAGAATAAGGAGGCTGCTGCAATGGTCCCTTTCTTTGTTCAAGTACTCATTCAACATATAATTTTGAGCATAAGTCCAGGTGAAGATGGAAGGCATGGACAGGTTGGGAGAGATAAAGGAAGATGAGGTAGAGGGTAAAAGGAGGTATTCAGTATGACTTCTAGGTTCCTGGCATGGTATCCAGGTGAATGGAGGTAACATAAATTAAGGCTGGGAATATAGGAGGTGACACAGGTTTGAGAGGGAAAGATGCCAAGTTCAGTTCTCGTTTTGTGAGTTTGAGGTATTTGTGGGACATCCAAGTAGACTCAAGGGCTTAAGAATTAGAAACACAGGCTTGTGATCCGAGGAAAGTCTGGGCCACAGATAAATTGGGAGGTACGGAGGACAGTGAAAGCCACAAGATTTAATGGAAACTTACAGCAAAGCAAATGATGGTAACAACAGTAACTAATATTTATTGTGAGCTGACTTTGTGTGCTCGTCACATCTCATGGACTTGCTCGTCACATCTCATGGACTTGCTCGTCTAATCCTAAGAGGTAGGAATATAACTACTTCCAATTTACTTATGAAGAAACCCAGGCAGACAGAATCCAGATAACTCATCTGAGGTCACATGGCTAATAACCAAACGGAAAGAGGAGACACACCAACATTTAAACAGTGAGTGGAGAGAGAAAAGCCCCCAATACCACACCAAAGAGGAAAATGCTGAGAGGTCAGGGCTAAAGCAGGAATAGGCTGTGACTGAGAAGACAGGAGAGAAGGGATGTTCAAGAAGGAAAGAGGCTCACAGGCCCAGGTGTCACCAGGAGAACAGCTGAGAGAGTGAGAAACGACCCCTAGATTTGGCAATTCTGAGGTCCTTGGTGACCTCTGTGAGAACAGTCCTGTGGGGAAGAGGAGAGGAATTGGGCAAGTTGAGTAACCCATAAAAAGCAAGAAGTAGAGATGCCGGAAAGATTTTTGGTTGAGAAGACAAGGCCAGGGAAAGAAAACAACTCAGGGGGAGATGAACGGACAATGTTTAAACTATAACAGGGAGAGCGAAACAGTGTCCCCGGTTACTGAGGACTTCCTATGTCCTAGGTACTTTGCATTGATGAACTCAGCTGATCCTAAGAGAGAGGGATACAATGTTCAAGGCATGCTACAGTCACTCACTCATTATGGGAGGTGGCCACAATTACTACCAGCCTCTTTTAAAGATGAGGAAACTGAAGCACAAAGAGATCAAGTACTCTGTCCAGGCCACACAGCCAGTAAGCGACAAAGCCAAGCAATGATCTCAGGTACTCTGGCTTTTAACTACTGATAAAAAAAAAAAAAAAAAAAAAAACCTCTCTAAAAATTGGCAGACAGAAGGGAAAAAACCCAAAAAACCTACGCAGAGGAAAGGCTATAAGAATGAAATACAGTGTTTCGTACATACTAAATACAGTTTTTTTTAAGTTTATTAAAAACTTTTACGGGGCGCCTGGGTGGCTTAGTCGGTTAAGCGTCCGACTTTTGCTTGGGTCATGATCTCACGGTTCGTGGGTTCGAGCCCCGCGTCAGGCTCTGTGCTGACTGCCAGCTCAGAGCCTGGAGCCTGTTTCAGAGTCTGTGACTCTCTCTCTCTCTGACCCTCCCCTGCTCACGCTGTCTCTCTCTTTCTCCCCCCTAGAAATAAATAAAAAACATTAAAAAAAAAAGTTTAAAAAAATAAAGTTTATTAAAAACTTTTAAAATCAATTCATTATATTAATTCAATTCCTACTGCCAGGCCCCCAGGGACACAGTGTGAACAAAGACAGACGTGGCATCAGTGGAAGACACAAATAAAAAGCAAGGAATTAGAGGGCGTTGAGAATCGCTGTGATGGGGGAGCCAGAGCACCTGGGTTTGTGGCTTTGGACAGATTATTAATTAACCTGTGCCTCAGTTTCTCCTTCAAACTGACACTAGCACCCATCACCCTTTGACTAATGGGATGAACAGAGGTTGGGACCAACCAGGGGTGGAAATGGAACTTTAGATTCCTATCACAGGCCCTGGAGTCAGACGGACATGCGCTTGAGTTCTAGCTCTTCACTACTTACAACCTGTGTGACTTTGGGTGCATTACCTAACCTCTGGGAACCTGTTTCCTCCTGGGCATGTAATGAGGGAGAAAAGAGCTAGCCCTCCTGCGGTGCTCAGAACAGTGCCTGGCAGACCGAAGGCACTGGTTAGGTGTTAGCCAGTTAGCCAAGGAAGACAGTTCTGCGTGGGGAGCAGGACAGGCTCAGAGGAGTGGGAGGTAAAGCCCAGAGAAGGACTTGGGGTCAGGAAGAGGTAAGCAGGATCGGAGTGGGATGGATAAGGGCTAAGGTCAGTGGGAGGTACTCACATTGGTGAAGGGAGGCTTGTGATGCTGGTACTCAATCCAAGGGGGTACAGCCAAGGTGCGGTTCAACAGCTTTGCAAAAGCCAGGGAGCCCAAGAAGTGATCGGCCTGGTTTCCGAAGCGCCCTGGATGGTATATGGTGGTTGAGGTGAGGCCTGGGGCATGGAAGGCACGGGGTGTGCAGGGTCCAGAAAGGACGCAGTGCCAGCAGTGAAGAGGGCCGGGACACCAAGGAGAGCCAGGGGAGCTGGCAGCACAGGACCCAGGTCTGGACTCCTGGGTCTGACACTCAAGGCCCTTAGGTCCTACCCTTCTGCCTCAGACCTTCCAGGTTCCTTGCTGTTGCCAAACCTGCTCTGCCCTTTCCATCCCCACCCCGTGTCTTTGCTCCCGTGCTTCTCTCTTCCAGGACTGCCCTCCCACCTCTATCTCATCTGTGCACGAAGGGGCAACTCCAGTGCCTCATTCACTGAGATCCTTTCACCAACCCTCTGCTGTCCTCAATCCCTTCCTCTGCCTCCCACCTCAGAATGGAGTTACTTCCGGTTCTTCACTTTCCCTCAAATGTCCTGTCTCACTTTCTGGCCTTTGTACTGGCTGCGTCTTCAGCCTGTAAATACCTTGGGGGCCAGGGTGAGGACCCTATCTGATTCTTGTCCTTGTCCCCAGCATGACATCCATCCATTCATTCCACAAATACCGAGAGGACACAAGGTGCCAGGCTCTCTGCTTGGTACCGGGATACAGGATTGAGCAAGAAGGATAAGGTCACTGCCTTCGAGGCACTCACAGTCCAGCTACAGAGACACGAAACATGTAAACAAGTATCCAGTGACAAATTCTGATGATTTCAAGGAAGAAAAGGAAACGTTTGGTGATAGAGACAACAACGTGGAGATTATCTGCACTGAGGTGCCCTTTCTGGCGACATTTAAGATGTGACCTAAGAATGGGAAGGAGTTGATCTGGCAGAGGTGGAGAGGAAGGTGTTCCAGGCAGAGGGAATGGCACAGGCTTCAGGACCTGAGTACGAGCGAGAAACAGAGAGAGGGAAAAAGAGTGGCTGCAGCTGGAGGATCTGGGGAGAAGGGAGTGGTGGTAGTGATGGGCAGAGGGCCAAATCATCAAGATCTGCAGAGTTTTAAGAAGAAATGACTTCTACAATGACGATCCATCACCCCATTTAAATTGCACCCCTCGGCCAGCTTTCAGATTCGCCCTTACTCTTCTCTATTTTCCCAGTGTTCATCCTTCAACGATACTCTGCATACTTATTTTTTATGTGTATCTTTTTTGTCTGTCTTGTCCAGCAAAAATGAAGATTCTTCAGGGGGACAGCGTTTTCTAGCGTATCACTGCTGTATGCCCAGAGCAGAAAACAGCGCTGAGCACAGAGCAGGGGTCCTATAAATATCTGATGAATGATGAAAAAAATAGTCCAGGGCCAACGTTGAGTCGGTGATACCAAGTCCTGCCCCAGCAAACTCCGTTTACTGAACTCTGGGATAGCTTAGACATTGCACAAGACACATCACCTCTTTCGGCCTCAGTTTCCTCATCTGCCAAATCGAAGATTGGACACAGAGGACCCTCAGGGCCACTGCAACTGGGGCCGGGAGGCGAGGAGCAGGCCATGCCCCGCGCTGGGCTTCTGTCCTGGACATGTCAAAGTATCTCTGGGTGCCTCAGAGGAGGGCCTTCGCCTCTCTCTGGGCCTCAGTTTCCCCATATGAGCAGAGGGCTCGGGAGGCCTTACCCATGCATGGGCAGTAGAGCAGGTAACCGGCCGGGTCCCAGGAGCCCGCGGGCAGCCCCGGGAGCGGCAGAATCAGCATCAGGAGAGACACGCGCAGCAGCAGGGGCGACGATGCCCACGCGGCGGCGCCCATGACGGCTCCGGAGCCCAGGCGCGCCGTAGCGCGGAGGCCGGGAGAGAAGGAGGGGCGCGAGCGTCCGCCCCGCTCCCGGCGGTCCTCGCGCGCCGCCCGCGCGCCGCCCCGGCCGCTCTAGCCGGCGGGCGGGCGGGACCATAGAGAGCCCGCGGCACCGCCCCCTCCACGGCCCGAGGCCCGCTCGTGCGGCTCCCACAATGCACCGCACAATGGCCCGACCGCCGCCACTACCGGGGCCTGAGCGGGCCTGGCGGAGCCCAAGCGCGGCCCGGCCCGCAGCGCGGGGCCCCGAGCGCGGTGAGTGCCGGCGAGGGCCCCGGGGGACGGCGGGGAGCGGGGCGGGAGGCCGTCTCGCTGCGCCCGCGCGCCCGGCACCCCGGAGCGGCGGCGCCTCTCATCTCGGGCCCCGCGGCGCGGTCGCCCACATCCCCGACCCGGGGCCCCCTCCACGCCAATTCGGGCCCAAATAGGCCCCAGGGTGACGAAATCTCTCCCTGGAACCGATACCTGGGTTGGGGGACCAGAAGAAACCCCACTGGCCCCCTCCCTACCGAGACCTGGAGACGGAGCCCTAAGGGTCCCCTACTCTTGACCCCCAGGCTCCCTAGAGGCCCAGATACCGCGCTGCTGACCTTACCAGGGACCCGGGTCTGGGGGACGCAGATAAGCTGCACCTGCTCCCTCCCCTCAGACACGCCTACTCGGTCCCACTTAACCCCCTTTCCTGCTCCAAATAGTCTGCTTTTTACTCTCTCTTTCGTTTTTCCAGAACCACATAACCCATTTTGAGGCTTCCCTCAAATACCTGGTTCTGGAGAACCCAGATAAGCGCTACCTGTAATTCCTTCCTCAGTGATTATACTTCCAAACCTTATCATCTGTCTGGTTACCCGTTTTGAGACCATTGAAATTCAGAGAATTCACTTCTGTCTTCAATCCCTGGAATCCTCCAGGGTGTATAACCCCCTCATCTCTCTTTTTTTCTTCTTTTTTTTCTTGGGGGGAGGAGGTAGGTACCTTAGAGACTCAGTTAACTTGCTAACGATTCTTTATCATACTTGCCCTTCCTTCCCATCCCTGAGACCTCCTCCAGAATTCTCCCTGAATTTCTGTCCCTTCTCTGGCAGGCGTCCACTCCCATCTCTCCCAGCTCCGGGGGAATTTAACCTTTCCCACCACACAGTGGAGTGGTCTGGAAGCTGCCCGAGGAGCCTAGTTACTCCTGGCAAATCCAGCCCCTTGCTGTGGCCCCAGCTGGGTGGGAGAAAGGGACCTGTAAGGTGGAAGAAGAGGGGACAGCTGGGGTGGGGCAGGGGGGCGGGGGGGAAGGAGTTGCTGGTGCTTTCACCTGCAGAGTAGCCTGTCTCGTGGTTTGTGTGTTTTTCCATCTTGTTAGCTTGGGACTGTGGTAGAGTTTGGCTTTGGATTCCTAACCCTGCCCCCTAAGGCAAGGCCCCTAGATTTGGGGGCAGGGGGGAGTATTACGGGGTGTCCAACCAGGTTTCCTCTTAATGAAAATGGGGCTGTTGTGAGCTGCAGCCATTTGCTCAAGGCCTCCGCAGGAGTGGGAGGCAGAGGGATTCAGAGGAAATAGTGAATCAAAGGGACTCCAAAGAGGGCCCATCTCCAGTGACAGAAGAACTAGCAGCCCGAGAGTAAATCCAACCCCTGCTAATCCTGTTTGATGTCTCTTGGAATGATGCAAGTCATTGAGACTCTCCAGCCTCCCTGTAATTTAATTCTCCCACCACTCTGGAGTGTGTGTGAGAGAGTGAACGAGGGGGGCAGCTAGGCTCGTTTCCCCTTTCTCACTGTTCTCCAGCCAGCCAGTGTGTCTTTTGGATCTGTTTCTGGTGCTCGGGTCAAGACCTGGGGTGTTTGTTTTTTTTTTTCCCCTCCTCTCAGTCTATTTATAATTTCCCAGTTGCTATTTTGGGTTCTGCTTAAGGGAAGATTCTGTCCACCCTAAGGAACGGTCCCTGGGTGCGTTCCCCGGGTAGGTTTCCTCTTCGGCAGGTGCTGAATTGAGTTCTTCAGATCCCCAAGTAGCTCTTGGGCAGGAGGGATAAAAGCTATTTTAGGGTAGTCACTGATGTGGAGCTGTTAATCCTCTGTGGGTCTCTCTAGTTAAGAACACTTAGAGATTAACCCTTTCCTTGCTGCAGGGGGGCTACTCCACAGTTTGGGGAGGTTTGGGACAAATTTAGTGTGGCAGCAGAAGGTGGGAACGCGCAACTCTGGTACAAAGGCAAAGATAATAGCCGCCTTTTGTTGGGGACTTAGCAGCAAGCCAAGCCCTATGTCGAGCCCTTTGCATACCTGCCTAAAATAATCCTTCACAACAAGCCTGTGAGGTAGGTATTTTTAGCTTTACGGATGAGGAAACAGGCTAATAATGGAGAAAGAACGCAGTTTCTATAGAGATGATGTAACACCATAAAAACTATAGTTTCGTCAGAGGGCAGCAGGCATCGTGGCACACAGCAGGACAGACAGACTGGAGAGCAGTTGGTCTGCTTTCAGCTGCCACGGAGGGCCTTCGAGAGTTTTTAGGAAGCGTTTGTGTTTGGGGTATGGAGCTTTGTAACCGAAGAGACTCGAGTGCGAGAAGTCAGGGCCGAGCTCTGGCGCTGGAGGAAGGGCGCGGAGGGCGGCTGGCTGGGCTGGCTGGAGGGGACGTGCTGGCGGCTGACGGTGAGGGGAAAGGGGAAGGCTGCGTTCTGGGGAGCTGCGGTGAAGGGAAGGAAACTCACTCAGAAGACTGAGAAGTAACATTGAAGGGGGAAAAGAAAGAAGTACTGCTCGAGCGCCGTGCGGAAAAGAGGCGGACACGGGGTAGGCCTCAGAGACGGCACTGCCTGTGTGCACACGCTTTGTGTCAGACATCTCATCCTCCCTGAGACCCTTGTAGGAAAGGGGGAGTCTTTGTTTTAGAAATTGAGGAAACTGAGATTCAGAGAAACAAAGTAACCTGCCCGTGGTGTCAGAGCCAGTAAGTGGCAGCTCTTCTGATAGCAAGTCCAAGGTTCTCTCCACATTACCTCCCTCTTCAGATCCGGCGCCAGAAGGGATCTTTGGATGAAAATATACCGAGTTATACCAGTAACTGGGAGGGATTGATTGTGTTTGTTTTATGGGAACAGGTTCCGTCAGCTTCTCTACAGTTGTTAAGGTTAGAGCGTGAGACCAGAAGAGCGACTTTGAAGGAGAAGCAGAATTCTTTCAGTTTTGCCCAGGAAGAAGTCTGAAGGAGACAGGCCCAGGAACTTTCCTGGAGGAGAGGAGTTTGCAGACAAAGGACAGAGGGGAAGAGACTAGGTTCCCAAAAGGGGTCCTGAGGTAACACTGGCAGCCTGTCGGTGGCTATAGGTAAGGGCTTCGGCTGAGCCTGTTTAAAAGGATAGGGGGACTAGAATCGGGGTGTTGGCTGTTTTCTTTTTAAGGCCATAGCCCCATTAAACGCAGATCAAGGCAAGCACATGGCTGCCTCCCTCCTTTGGTTCTGTCATTACAACCTCGTGAGCTCGCCTTAGCCACCACCAGCCTCTTTCCTAGAAGCCCATTACTCACTCTTTCAGAAGCAGCGTACTAAAGTGCTCTGTCTTGTTTGTGCTTGTTCAGGAGAACAGAAGAGGTGTATGTGTGGGAGGTGGGGGACGTACTGTTCTCTTTCTGAGTTTGTGTGGAATTTCCAGGGCTCGGCTCCCCGCTCATGTCGGCCAGTGATGCAACCTGCTTCCCTCTGGCTGCTGTTCCAGCTTTTCAGAGGCTGGGGTGCATGGTTTTGGATAGTGGGGCGTGGGGGGGAGCAGAATTGGACTTTAGGGTGGGGTAAAGTCCCTCCAAACTCAATGTTCGAATTCGTGCTTGCTCTCTGCCCACTTACAAGGTGCATAGTAATCGCTGGTATTATAAACAGGTAATTCCACCCTTGAGAAGGAGGGACTTAACCCATGAAAGGCAGCCATCAGAGGCCTTTGAGATTTATAGTAAAGCAGACAGATAGGCCACGATGACTCGAAGGCTCAAGTGGGACTAGTTTTTAGCACTGCCTACCCCTCCCCAGCATGTGACTCACGCAAAATGTAGCCACCTTTGTGCGGATCTTTCTCGGCAAATCTCCACTCGTGATGGGGAAATGTTTATCATATTATACTGCAGTGCTTCTTCAACAAGAGGAATGGTTCCTGAACAGGACGTACCTCACGTTAATGATGAGCAAAGCTCTCTGGGGCATGAACCCGCTGATCCCATCATCTCGTTCACGGCCAGTCTGTTAGATGAATGGTCACTGTAAGCAGCAGGTGCTAATGAGCTGAGCAAGCATTCTGTGGCCCACAGCTGTTTGTGCGGTTGGAGCCCTCCCCAGATTCTCGTGGACAGTCCCCACTGTCCTTTGCTCCCTTCACATGGGAAAGCCTCATGACCAAATTTTGGCATGACCTCTTCAAAAGGAATCCCCCTGTTGTAGCAAGTTGCTTTGCAGTTGGTAGTCTTATTAGTGTGAATGTGGGTCTGTTGTCCCCCTTTTGAGAGTCAGTCCAGTAACTCCCATCCTTTCTGAATTGATGTCAGAAAAAAGGTCTGTCATCTTTGCTCCAGTTTTTCCCTTTCCCACACCCCTCCCCTTCCCCTGCCTCAACCAGAGAAAGGATCAGACTTCAAGATGCTGGCTCCCCACTTTGGTAGGGTGGTGACCCCAATTTAAACCAGAACTTTGTGAGCGTATGTTAGCCTTGCATCAACTCTCATTCAGTGACTCGTTTACTCATGGAACCGTACAAAAGTTGAGAGTCCTTTTCTGGATGCTAAGTGTACGGAAATGAAAGAACTGTGATCTGAGCCTTCAAAGAATCAGTTTGGTGAAGGAGTTGTAGTGCGAGTATGCTGCCTGCTCATAATGGAGACATGTATGTGTGCTGCAGGGTCTGCGGGGAGCCGCTCGGCACATGGGGTGTTGGACAGGCTTTGCTAAGGAAGCATGGCCTGGGAGACCCAGAGAGGTGGTGGAGGGTAGGATGGGGCCAGGACTGGTTTTTTAGGGGAACTG